GCTGTTTTTAATTATTATTTTTCAAAACTGTATCAATATAATAAGACAAAATATTTTTTAACTTAAATATTTAACTATATAAAGTGAATAAATACCAACTTATGAGCGATTTACACAGTAACCTTCAGTACAGATATATTTTGTTGTAAAAAAAAAAATAGACAAACAACACAAATATATTTATTCTAATGAAATTTGGCACTGTTGTTTAAATTAGTTAGAGCTATTTTTCATGGTAATGATTTTGAAAAATTTAGAATAAAGTTTTAGACAAAAAATCCTGGCGAATGGAATGTGCATTTTTGGCTTGGAAAGGAAACAAGTGTGGTAAGTTTGTTAAAGTTTTCTATTAAATACTTGGAAAATATGCATATGCAACGCCTATCCTAATTTAATTTATATATTTATTGAATTGATTACTAAAATCGTATTATTAAACGTTACATATTTAAAGAAACAATACAGATTTTGAATTTTTTCAAGTATCAATTTACACTGATATGGGCGTGTTAATTTTGCTATTATCACTTATTTATCAGAAAACAAATATTATCAAATTAATTTGCCACGAAATTACAGCTTCAGTCTACAGGAATTCAAAATTTTTTGGAACTAAAATGCATTTATTTAAAATAGAATATGGCAGTATTGGCAATTTCTATTATTGATATTTAAAAGATTATACAGAAAAATTTAATAAAAAATTTTTGAAAAATAAATTTAAATAATTTTCCGGATGAACAAGGAGCAGCAGCAATCAAAACAGTAGAAATTGATGATGCTCTGAATGGATTACCCGTACAGTATCGAGAAGTAAACGGATTATTTTAATCTTAGTTTGATATCAGTTTGTGTAAATTGCTTAGATTTTAAAAGTTTTGATGTTTAATAAAATTTTTACTGAGCTCAGAAAAGTTTAGATATTACGATCTCAGAATAAAATCCAAGCATTAATGGTTTTCGACTTTGATCATTATGTTTGTTATTTTACGTGATTTGTCTATTAAGCAAGTTTATCTAAATACCTTTGATTAATCAGAACGGATAACTGATCAAGAATTTATACCAAATAGCTAAAAGATCATAGACAAGTTAGTAAATCATTGAGTTCGCTTTTATCTAAGAAATCAGTGCATAATTAAAAAACAGATCAAGCATTCAACTCATTTTTCAGGTTCAAGAACATGAGTCATCATTGTTTTTGTCTTATTTTAAGCAAGGTATAAGGTGAGCTATTCAATTATTAAATTATTCATTTCATAAAGTACTGTGATAATCAAATATTTAAATATTCCTAAATCTGAAGGAACGACAAGATAAATTTTAAAATTTTGTAAAAAATAATTTTATAGCTGCATAAAGCATGAAATCAGAACATATACTATTAAAAAGTTTAAAATACATGAAATTTTCTTTCTGTAAATAACGATTAGAATTTAATTTAAGCATCGGAATTTCACTGACAAAAATAACTACATTAGAAATGTATAAAATCAGAAAATGCCTGCAAAGCATGCATTTAAAGTTGATATCTTTAAGAAGAAATTAGCATAAATTTCTAGGAGATAATTTTTTAATCGTTTTATATCGAGTAGAAAAAGCTGCTAAAAACAGAAATGCATTATGTATTTTTTCAAATAAGCAATTTTTGATTTCAGTTTAAATGGAAATGATTATGGGATTTTAAAAGTAGGATTTTTCGAACCCACTCATTAATATTTAAAAACAAGAAGATTTTTGATCATTTTCAAATCATGTGCTATTAAGTATAATTTGTAAGTTGCTGTTATTAAATAGGTGCAAAGTTTTGAATTGACTGACTTAATTTTTATACTTACAGTTACTTAGAGTTATACTCAACACCTAAAACTAACATAATTTTTGAATAAAATATCAAGTTTACTGATTATTTTATATCAAAAATAAATGTAAAAGCATTTTTATTAATTATCGCTAATTATAATTTATAATAAAAAATAACTTCTAATTTAGTAACTTTTCAGTTTATCAAATCAGAAATCTTTTGATTTGCAAATTAGTAATACAAAGTGATATTTATGAATTATGTCAGTAATATTAAATAAATTTTTATACTTTTATGAAATTTAGTTATCAATGCTTCCGAATATGTACACAACATACAGATATTATTCATAACATCCATGCTTTATTAGTAAAAATTACTTTTAATTAAAATTTATAAATACTAATACCAACAGAATTAACAAATCAATTAAAATTATATTAATACTTGGACAAAAACAAGTAGACATAAACTTATAAATAACATGGGGTTAAAAGTTCAAAGTTAACAGGTATATCAGTGGTGGAGCGCCTTCAGGTTTCACGCATGTTGTAGATCAGTACGAAAACTGGCAGCCAAAACTTTTTCAATGCAAAGGCAAAAGGAATGTAAGATGTATTGAGGTGAACTATTTCTTGACTATTTATGCAAATTTTCGTTTGCCTCTGTCATGTACAATGCAAGTCATATTGTCCATGTACTAGCTGTCATTTTGCATGCTCAAAGCATTTTGATTATTTTTCTATGGAATAATTGAATTCGTTATGGATGATGATTTGAAAAGCTGAGAAAAGATTCTGAAAAAAATTTTGTTGGAATTTTTCTTTAGTTGAATTTGTTTAAGAAAAAAAAAAAACTGCAAAATGAAAATCTTATTGCATTTTATTTTACATTCCATTCATTTTTGTGATCAGAAGTTTAGGTCAGTTGCAAGCGAGAATCCTTGAACTTGGGAGATGTTTTTATTCTCGATTGTGGGCTAAAAATTTATGTTTGGATGCCCCCACAAAGTGGAAGACTTGAAAGAATTAAGGTTATTTTGTAAATAAAATACTAAAGTAGTTAATAAAATCAGTTATACAAAATGAACTATTCGAGATAATCCCCCGAATTCTATGTGATCTTAATGAAAATAATATATTTGTAATACTGTAAATGGTAATAGTGAGAATAAAAACGTATATTTTGTGTACTAAGAAATAAGGTAATTCTGTATAAATATTACTGTAGTACACGTATATTATCTCGGTATTTTCAGAAATATTATCTGTCATCTCTAAATGAGGTAACAGATAATATTTTTGAAAATAACAAATAAGAATCGACATGCACTCCTGAGAATCATTTAAGAGCAAACATGTCATAGAAGTATTAAGATAAGTTGTAAGCTAAAAGTTACTGAAATGAAAGAAGTTATTATTTTCAATATTGAAGCGCAAAAGATGGATGACTTAGTAATTGCTTCAGGCAGTAAAAGTAAATATTTTTGTGCTCAGTAGAAAAATGCTATATATTTATATAGTAAAATTAAAAAATTGCATTATTACAAAAGTCGAAAGATTATTTTTCTAAAATTTTTTAAAGTATGACGAAGCTTCTGAATAAATTTTCATAATTTTGTGCTAGTAAAGGATATTTCAAGTTGATCAGACAGACAATACTTCAGGGAACGGAACAGGCAAGAAATATTCGAGACCGAGAACGTACAGGAAAGCCTGATATAAGCATTCTTGGTGCGCAATTATGCATTTAGTTTACTAAATTTCAAGCTTGAAAAAATGTCACAAATATTTAGCTTAAAAAAGGCAGTTGTTAATTATCAGATAATCTGCGCATAAAGTTAAATGTGATAAAATTTTGCTAAATTAATTACTGATATGTAATATACTTTCACGTGTTACTACTACTGCAGGCACAAAATGAAGTTTATGCCGTAGTAACACGTGAAAGACACAAAATTAAGTTTATGCCGTAGTAACACGTGAAAGGCACAAAATTAAGCTTGTGCTAAAAAGTGTTAACTAGATAATTATCGAAAAATTATTTGTCAGTATCTATCAAAGTTATTAAATGAATGTGAAACACGAAATTTAGATGACTTTGTCTGACTTGAAGAATAATATTTACATTTTTTAATCAAAAAATGTGTGTAAGATTCTGATTGGAATTCTAACGATGAGTTCTGGAAGATTCTTGGAGGAAAAGGTGAAGTAAAGCCAGCAGAAGCTGGTGGATCAGATGAAAATTACTGGCAACCGGTCACTCAACAACTGACTCTCTGGAAGTAACTTTCATTACAATTTATTTTAATCTAAAAAAAAATTTAAAAGGAAACTGTATTTTTTTTAATTGTTTAAATAAATAAGAGAAGTAATATCAAACTTCTCGAAAGTATTTTAAATTTTTTTAACTAATTTTGATTTGAACTTAAAGTCGTACAAAATGAAATAAATTGTTTAGAATCTTCAAATTATTCCAGTGTATCTAAATTCAAAATGCTAAGAAAAAATGTCAAGAAAAAGAATGATATTAAAAATTATAATCAGCTCAAAATTTGTTTATTTCACTGGGTTGGTTGAACTGGAATATTTTTTTAAGATCATTTAAATATGTGCTTTAAACTGTTGCATTATAGAGTATCTGATGAATCAGGTGAAATGGAGATAAAAATGATTTCACAAGGAAATTTCAAGCACAGTCAACTTGATTCAAAGGTTACTCGTAATTGAATTTATCCATACTCATTTGAAATTATTTAATTTTTTTTTTTGGTTTTAAGTTTGCAATTTAATTAATATTTTCCAGCAATTATTCAGTTCTATTAATCTTTCATACTTAATCTGCTCTTCAGGCAAATTCACGAAAAATAATAATACTTCTAAAACTTGATTAATTTTTTTGTATACTCTATGACGAATGAAGAAAGATTAAGAAGAGCTTAGTGATTCAAGAGAAGACTTAATTTAATACAAATCACTAAATTTTGGCGATTTAAAGTATTTGATTTTAAATTAATAATCTTTTATAAATTTTAAATTAATAATCTCTTATAAAATATTATTAAGTTTGATATTTTTAGGATGCATTTGTATTAGATGCTCAAAACGGAGGCATATTTGTTTGGATTGGCAAGAAATGTACCATTGATGAACGTAAAAAAGCCATGAATTATGCCACACAGTATCTTAAACTTCAAGTAAAAATGTTTTATTTTATCAACTATAACGATATTATTGCTTTAGATTGGTAAGAATTGTACAATTCATAATATACTATAGATAATGGTAATATTATTATCATTATTAATATAAAAATATTAGCACTGATTTTCAAACAAGCAATTTGCATAAATTATTCAGTCTTAAAAATTTTAAGTTTTTAATGTTATGAATAATAGTAAAACTAATAATAATACCAATCAAAACAATAACATAAATAATATTAGTATTAAAAACAAAAGTGTTTGTTCTTAACATTGCTTTATTATAACAGAAATTTAGTAACTCGAAAAATTATCATGTAATACGTGAAAAAACATGTAATAAATCAAATTAACGTGGTGCGTGACGCGGTTAAGCTAAAATTTGAAGAATCGGTCGGAAAATACGCAGCTAATTCGAGTGCTAGAGGGAGCAGAACCAGCGTCATTCACGCAGTGGGCAAATATGTGGGAAACCAACAAGAAAGCACCTCCCTTCATACCAAAATTATATCAGTGCAGTAATCAAAGCGGTCGATTAGCGATCGAAGAAATTACTGATTACACGCAACAGGTTAGATAGTTCATAAGGTTATCAAGCAAAAGTTAGCTTTATGTAGCTAAACATTTACTCACTGATTGACTAGATATCAATAGTGATGAGAAGGTAGCCTTGAGAGTATATGAGATAGATAATACCACGAGTTAATAATTGAGTATAATTAGCAAAAATGTATTCTTAATTAAGTATTACGCTCTTGTGCATCCCATAATCTCACGTACATTCTTTTATTCAAGCGTATTGAGTGCTTAACATAAAGAATTTTATATTTAATAATAATTAATACATATTCTAAGTCTCTGAATCGAAATAGATGTATAATATAAAGGTAAAATAAGAGTATGAGCCAGAATGAATTATTAGGATTTGGTTGGAGACGACGTGATGATTGTGGATGCTTTGGATAAAATCTATGTATGGCTGGGCTCTGGAGCCAATGAACAAGAGAAACTGTTCGCTGATTCTGTTGCAAATGTTTGTAAAAATATTAATTATTATTCTACTCAATGATAATATAATTCAAAAAATGATCTGAAATACCTATAAAATTATGGAAAAAAATAATTCAATCAATTTTTTCATTCAAAATTAAATCAGATTTTGTTACAGTCAAATAATAATTTGATATATTAAATTTTACTTACACTGATATATTTGGATTGAATTTTTTCGGTTTGTCATTGTACAATACATACCAAATTGTATAACGAAAAATCCATCATAATATTTTTCAATAAAAATTACTGAAAACTTTTTGTAGTCAAATAATAATTCAGAAAATCAATTACTTTTCATAGATATGTTAGTAATCAGTTTTCTAAGCTTAGATGATTAAATATACATTTTATTGTTGAAGTGAATGAAAATGAGCTATTAATTGGTAAAATCATATCTTTAATCAAAGTTATTAATAACATAATTTCAACGTTTCAAATTTTATACAAGAATTATTAGATATTTTAAAACCAATTAGTAGGAATTTGCTTTTTAATAGCTTTTTGAGTTAAAAAGTAATCACAGAAATGGCGCAAATTGTAATTATTATTAAGAATTGTTTTTCCTTAAAAGGTATAAATAAGAAAAACTTTTTATTTGTATCAATATTTAAAATTTTTTTATTTTTCATTTTTCGGAAAATTTTATCCGAACAAAATGAATTATCGCTAAACTTTTATTGATTCACTTAAGATTCTACAAATCAGATCAAAAAATATTTATCATTGGTCATTTCTTGATATTTGTGAAAGTATTGTTTTATTATTTATTAGTGAAAATTAATATATTTCAAATCAAAGAACATTTTTAAAGTCTGTGAGGTTCATATTCTTGAGGTTTATAACTTAGGAGAAGTTATTTTAAATTTTAGAATTTTTGACTCTTGCAAGCAGACAAATTAATTCAAAAAATAAAATAATTATATGATATTTCGAAAAGAATTAGATAAATTTCAGCTATTAAATTTTTATTATTTTCGCAAGTATAATTTAGAAAAAATGTTCTTTACAAAAATAAATTCTAAATGAGTTTTCTTTTTTATTCGTCACAAATTTTACTTCATAGAAGTAATATTTTTATGTGAATTTTTGTTACTTTCAATATTACTAAAAATATTATTATCAGTTTTATCGTTTATTAATTAATAGCAAATAAATTTTTTTGAATGAAAATTATAATAAAACTTTTCTACTCAAAAATATTCAAATTTTTGTTAGTTTATGCTAAATATGAAATGTTCCAGAGAAAAATTCTTTGCAAAATTTGAGTTCATGTGCTCAAAAGAAAAATGTATTTACAGAAGTACCTTCAAGGTGACGTACTCCCACGTCCAGATGGTGCTCGTATAATTAGAATCGAGCAAGGAAAAGAAACTGCTGAGTTTAAGAAAATATTTGGTAAATGGGACGATCATATCAGTGTAAGTCATATTTCTTAGTAATAAAAGTATAGCTTAAATGGAAGAAGTTACAGTTTAACAATGATGAAAACTAACACGGATGTGAAAGGTCACTTCAAATATAATCCTGTAAGAAAACTAACACCAGAATCAAAGCTTATTTAATCTTGATCCTAATAAAAAATAAAACAGTCATATCAAGGGTCAATTCAATCATGACCTTATGACTCCACTTTAACAAGATACAATAGCGATAATGAGATATACGTGATCATTATTTTCATCATTGTTAAACTGTAATGAATTTGTAGAATCACATAATGAAATGATGAGATGTTCAAAGAATGAATTAAGCAATAAGAGCCTGCGCTAAATTTTATTCAGTGAGAATTCAAATACACTGTGATCACTGAAATGATATAATATTTCGAGATGAATAAAGATTATATTTTTCATATTTTTTATTTATAAAGACATAAAAAGTAAGTTTAAATAGGCTGCAAGATTTCAGCTTTAATCATATTAACATTTTTCAGTCTCGAAAATGATTAAATATTCTGTATATTTACAGTAAATATTTAGGATGCTTGAACATTTGAAGCCATGAAGAAACAGATTTGATCGCCTATTATTCATTTCAATATACTTACAATATTTTTAGTGAAATGACTAATTATAGAAATATTCATATTATTTTTTTCTTTTAAATATTGCATAGATTATTTGTAATATTTAGTGATTATTCTATCAAAATTATTAATCCGTAATAGACTAGATTTGGCAATAAAATTATTGTGACAAAAACGTTTTTGCTTGCGTTCATTCACACTTGCAAAGCAAACTACAATGTGCCCAATATCGAAGTACTCATTAATGGTAGCACTACATATATCTCTTCATTACATTAGAAATATATGACGGGAATAAGCATGCAAGACATTACTTACTGTAAAGCAATAAGCATACAATACGTGTCAAGAACTGGAATAGTTCTTCCAATTCACAGGTTTTTTTTGCAAAAAGGTAATCAAAATTCGATGATAAAGCAAATTCAGACTTTTTACACGTTGTTTCACTTTCAACCGTAATTTTCTATCATTTGTCACTTCATCATTCATAGTGGAAGGCGCCTGTATAAGTCAATCGTTGTATGAATATTTACTCTGATACTGGGCGATGAATGCATCATTGCGCAAGTATAAAGTTTCATTTAACGGAAGATTTCTTGAAAAAAGTATGAGCGATATTCCTCGAACTTGCTTGGTCTGATACATTTGTAAATAAATATCCAACTAGCATGTAAAAATTCTTGTGTGAACTGAGTGAACCGCTTAAAACTTTTTGAATGCATACTTTCTCTTTGAAAAAAAAAAGGTTTTGAGGATATAAATTAATACCAATTATAATTACTTAATCGTCAAGAATTCTTTTGTAACCAGCAGAGTTATTATCGACTTGAATTTTCATTGGATAACAAAAATTTACAGTTCATTCCATTTTACATTTATGAATTTGAATAAAAATTATCAAAAAGTCCCGGGAAGAATCGTTTTATGACCTTTTTAGCTTTATAGAATCTGTATCAAATGAGACCGCTTGAACATATTGTTTATCACATCGAAAAATTCGAATTATTTGAAATTTGCTTTGTGAACTAATTCAAATCTTTTCACTCTGTGAAGGCAATAATGAATTCTGATTGTCGTTTTCACTATTTTCTCTTTACTTTACTCGAAAAAGTTATCTAAATGTGTCCTACGCAAAATACCAGTAACATTTATTGAAATTTCGTTATATTTAACTCGGCTAACTTACTTTTATAATATTTTTGTTGGCCAGAGGTAAATAGTTGCTAAGATATTCAATTTTGCAATTGTGTTTGTACTGTGCACTTCAACACGTTAGCA